TATTTTTATCCCCATTCTAACTCTGGCTCGGTCCATATCCTCACGAACAGCTCATTACATCGATCTCCTTGAGCCCTCCGGGGTGCTGCATTGTGCATGTTCTGCATTGTGATCTGAGTGGTGGTCCACAGCTGTATGCAGATGTTGGGCTCCATTGAGCTGCACACTTAAGACAAGTACACTTCATTTATTTATTTATTTATTTATTTATTTATTTATTTAGGAGACAGAGTCTCGCTCTGTTGCCTGGGCTAGAGTGCCGAGGCGTCAGCCTAGCTCACAGCAACCTCAAACTCCTGGGCTTGAGCAATCCTACTGCCTCGGCCTCCCCAGTAGCTGGGACTACAGGCATGCACCACCATGCCCGGCTAATTTTCTCTATATATTTTTAGTTTTCCAGCTAATTTCTTTCTATTTTTAGTAGAGACGGGGTCTTGCTCTTGTTCAGGCTGGTCTCGAACTCCTGACCTCGAGCGATCCTCCCGCCTCGGCCTCCCAGAGTGCTAGGATTACAGGCGTGAGCCACCGTGCCCGGCCTAAGACAAGTATGCATGTATGTTAAAGCATGTATGTTACAGCTAATAAAAATTTTTTAAAAACTCACGCTTTTCTTACCACCAGCATAATTTTGTCCCTTCAACAGGTGTGTGCCTCCCTCGGGTGACATCGAGAACACCGTGAGCAGAGGCACCACCTTCTAAGAGGGGCAACAAGGTGTATCATACACTCCTGTATCAAGCACACTTTATGTTACTGAGTATCTGACTGAATCCAGTGAAGTCAGTGTCAGTATTTTTCTCCCCATTTGACAGACTGGAAACGGAGGCTCAGTGAAGCGCAGTGGCTTGCCCAGGGTCACCCAGGGAAGCAGTGTCTGCACCCACTTCCCTGTGACCCCTGCCGTGCTCTGTCCCCCCTGTGCAGGCGGGCTTCCTTGACCATGTGAAATAGGTCCAGAAAAGGAGTCTAGAACAACAGCATTCTATAATCCATGACATGTGGCAAAAATTTGTTTAAAAAGGAGTGTTTCTCATTAAAAAAAAAGAAGGAAAGATTTAGAAAGAACGCACAAAATGGTAGTGAGAGACTGATGTGTCTTATCCCAAATATGTTATTGTTTATCTTACTCAGTCCTTTTAAAAATTATTTGCCTAATTGGAAAACCGAGAGATGTCACATGCAAACCCAGATATCAACGGTCTGTTGAAAATCAGAAGGTCTCACTACTCCAGGGCCGCTCTCCCCACAGTGCGTACTCCGCGTTTGCCGCAGTCCCTCCAGCTCCCTTCACTCACTGCGGGGGCGACCTGTGTTTGGTGGTCTGGCATTCATTCGCTCGCCTACTGGGTCCCATGCTCCAATTTTCCTCTGAAGAACTACTCCTTCCTTCCTCACCACTTTGAGTGGGGTCGAATCCATGTCTGGCTCCATGGGGTCCATATGGTCCAGTCCTGAGCAATCAGAGCACCACATCCACCCCGATGATTGGCATGAGCTCAGGATGGGACATATGACCCAATCAGGGCCAATGAGATGCCACTTTGATTGGGATTGCAGTAAAAACAGCACGCAGAGGCCAGACGCGGTGGCTCACGCCTGTAATCCTAGCACTCTGGGAGGCCGAGGTGAGTGGATCACTCAAGGTCAGGAGTTCGAGACCAGCCTGAGCAAGAGTGAGATCCTCGTCTCTACCAAAAAATAGAAAGAAATGATCTGGACAACTAAAAATATATGTGTATAGAAAAAATTAGCCGAGCATGGTGGCGCGTGCCTGTAGTCCCAGCTACTCGGGAGGCTGAGGCAGGAGAATCGCTTGAGTCCAGGAGTTTGAGGTTGCCGTGAGCTAGGCTGACACCACGGCACTCTGGCCCAGGCAACAAAGCAAGACTCTGTCTCAAAAACAAACAAACAAAAAACAAAAAACAGCACACAGAACTTGAAACTACATGGTATAGACTGGAGCATCTGTCAACCATCTTAAAAGTACATGGAGCTCAGAATGAGCCCAACACAGGGGAGAAAAGAGCCTAGTGATGGAGAAGTCCTGATGTCTCTATTAAGCCCCTTGATCAAGCTGTACCTGAAGCCAAATATCCCAGGATTTGTTATTTATGCAAGCCAACAAAGTACTTGTTTTTTTGTTTATTTGTTTAACCCATTTGAGATAGTCAGGAGCCATTTTTTTCCAAGTGACAGAAAACTCTTCCCTAGAGCAGCTCCCAGACTAGCAACAACAGAATTAGGACCAACGGGTAAAAAGAACAAAATCTAACATAAAGATGGAACTTTCTAATACTGAATTATTGAAGAGTGGGAATGTTTTGTCAATAACAGTATTCAAGCAGATTAAAGTTTGTTATCAATGTGTCAATTTTGGCCCAGGGTAGGCGGTCGGACGAGATGAACCCAAACCTTAGGTTCATTCCATCTTGGTGATCCTACGGATATCAAGAATGAAATATTCCTTAGAGAGGATTTCCTAAATACCCTAGTGAGGTTTCTCCTTTACTGTTGCAGTCCTTTATATGCCAACTCTTTTCTTCATGACAATTACTACAATTTTTGATTCTAGATTTACATTTTTGTTTACTTTTATTTCTCTCTTTCCCACTAGACTGTAAGTTCCATAAGAGCAGAGATGCTGTCTATTTTATTTTTCTGAACTTCTAGCACCTAGCAAAAGGCCACCACACACAGTAGGCTTTCAATTAATGGTTTGTCGAACGAATGAGAGAATGAAAGAGACCTCCCTGACCCTGTGTTTTCTATGAAGTCACTCAGAAAGCCAGCGTCCACATGGAATCCTTGAGGCCTATAGCCACCAAGTCTCTCTCACGTTCATCGTGTTTAAAGACATCTCATCTACACCATCTGGTGAAGGATGTCATTTTGGTAATGGATGTTATGCCACCCAATGGCTAGAGTGTTCTTCATCCCTAGCGCACTCACCCTTGTGTAGGTCACCCAGCACAGGCAACAACAGCCTCTGGGTTTACGTGGGGAGCAAATTATCTCTACAGCACCTCTCCCCACTCTCCCCATTGTGTTGCTGAATGCTTGAGTTGTGCTGCTGTCCCTTAAGGCAACGTAGGAAAGGAAAGGAAACCCTCATTTACTGAGCACCTACCACGTACTGGGATCTTCGCACATATGAGCTCATCTAATCCTCACAGCAACCCTACAAAGTTGGCACTATTAGTTTTTATTTTATGGAAGAAGGAACTAAGGCTCAGAGAGGTCAAATGGCTTACCCAAGGTCACACACATCCAGTTTTCAAATTTACGGTGGCGGCACTCTAAAGTTTTTACCTTTCTGTTATCCCACACTTAGTTTTCTAACCTGAATATATGTATGTGATGTATTAGTATATGTGTGTGCATTTTTGTTCATTCCCTAGCACTCTCTTCTGCAAATGGTCTTTTGCTCTCTGGGGACTGAGGCATGTGTACACACACACACACACACACACACACACACACACATACACACCTCAAGTCATCAGCAGCTTTCTTTTGTTTATTGTACCAGAGGAGCAGGAAATTACACAGGCCTATTAAGGACTAAGCAAATTCCAAGTGAATTGCGTAAATGGTATTTTTTTAGAAGCACACAAAATAACTTTATAACCATCTATACGTTTCAGAACATCATGAGAGACCTGGGGACTGCACAGGAAGAGGTGTGCTCAGTAGCATCTGATATAAATTATCCAAACTCTAGTCTACCCAGCCTCCGCTCCTGGACCCACAAACTAAAACATAGTGTCTGGGGAAGAATGAGCATGAGAGCCACGGAGAGAGAGACGGAGAGAGAGTACTTCGCCTGCAACCAAGGCATCAGGAGGTCTCCGCTTCTGATTCTGGGTTATTTGAATCAAGGGAACTCATTTGGCCTCAAGCATTTAATCATTTCATTCCCCTTTCTGGTTTTATTTTGAGACATTAAGAGGAAAGAATCATCCTGGGGTCGAACAGGGCCTTTTTCTCTTTCTAGCTGTTGCTTTTGGATTCCCTTACCCAATGCCCAATGCATATGTCAGGCCAGATGGCTTGGACGCTTGGCAGCCAATTCAGCTGCTCAAGAACATGGTTGTGCTTAACTTCATCCACTTGACACTGCTTCAGTTCATCGTGGGGTAGAAGTGTGATACCAATCCATTTAATTAGCTTAACGAGGGCTGAGGGAACTGGTCCACATTTTGAGTTTGTTGCACAGAACAAATTGGTTTGCCTCACTCCCTCCCTGATCATTTAAGCGTACAGGAGAGCGACTCTCAGCCATTTCCGAAAGAAATTTCACTCCCTTCTTCCTCTATGAAGAGCTGGGCGCTGTCCATGGTACCGACATGACCAGGAGTTCAGAAACTTGGTTCTTCAAGAGGTGCGTTTCTCCACAATGAGAACTCAGAGTACACCAGCGTAACCTCCTAGAAGACCGAACTCTCTGGTGTAAGGATTTTGCTCCAGTAAAAGGCAGCGTTAAGCTTTTTACCTAAAGCGAGGTCTCCAAAGTAGAGTGCACAGGAGATCCTTGAGGGTTGGGAATAAAATGTTAGGATTTCCGTTTATGTTTATCTATCTTGTTTTAAATTTCTACTCTTCATGTGTTATATATGAATGGGGGAAATGCTAATTTTTCTTCTGATAGGGCGTGTGATCAGTTAAGTTTGGAGAGCATAAATCTACAGGCATAAAAAACAAGTCACTCTAAACTCAGAATTGGGGGGATCACATGATCGGGGTGGAGGGATGATATCACAAGCTGCTGGTGGTGGTTTTAGAGTCTAGGGGTCTGAGCTGGGCACTGAGCCTATTGAGGGAGGACCTCCACCCTTCCCTGTTACTGACCCCAGACAAACGCTGTACTCCCAGGCAGAAGAGACATAGGCTGGCCTTGGATACGTTGTAGGCAATGCTGAACCGAGTGTGGGGACGGGGCACATACAGGAGGATGAATGAGAGCACTCCAGTGTGGAAGGGGCTCGGGAGAAGTCCCTGACTCAACTCCATGATGGGGAGGTATTTATGCATCAAAAAGCTCTTCAGAATAAGCATTGGGGTCTTCCTGAGACCGGGTCACCACCTTGAACTGGCGCCGGAGAAAACCGCCATAGCGCTTCTGGTTGTCCCACTTGAGCTTGGGACGGATGCGCCGCAAGAAGCCCCCATAGCGTTTGTACAGGTCCTCGTGGCCCACCCTATCCCCATCCCCATCCCCCTCCCCAGCCACCTCTGAGCTCCTCTTGGGGTATTTGCGCAGAAAGCCCCCATAACGTTTGACCTGCTCCTTGGGGTCCTCCTCATCAAAACTGAGTGCGCCAGCCTCCATGGCACCATCACTCAGCTGGGCATCCCCCACCAGCTCAGATCCTGCTCCCTCCCCAAAGCCACCAGAGAGGCCCCTGAGCTTCTCCTCCAGGCTCTTGCTCAGAGCATTCTCCTTCGTCGGGGTACTGGGGAGGAACTTGCTTTTCTCAAGCTCCTTCAGGAAGGGCCCAGAGAGCTTGGCCAGCTCACCATAGGGCCCTTCCAAAGCCACCTTGCTCCCCAGGTCTTCCTCGCCATGGAGCCCAAGGATGGAGGGAGCGAACAAAGACAGAAATCCCTGGCATCTCTCCCACTCCTCAGAGGGCAGCAGGGTGGCCTGGCATTCCAAGGAGCAAATCTGCAAAAGACCCAAAGAGACCACAGTGGCAATGTCACCCCCATCAAATCATCAAAACACATACCCTGCCCTGCTGAGGGTCCCCTGTCCAGTGGCTGAGAAAATCAAACTGAGCTGCCACTGCTTAGCACTGGGCCACCCATGTTCATGCTCCCAGTGGCGCATAAAGGGTGTCTGTGTGAAAGGTGAGAAAACAGACCTGGAGAGCCGTCCCAAGGACACACAGCTGCAGGCGGCAATGCCAAAACTAGAAGTAAGATCTTCCCATACTGCTCTGTGTGATCGCCCTTCCCTTCCGCTTCTGACTCCTAGAGGGAGTGGTCAGTGCTCCCAACATTGCCAGGAGTGAGGGATGCTGCTAACACTTTGGAGAGGGGACAGAGCAATGTAGAATGACAAAAAGAGCATGGGTGACGGGATATACAGGGTTCTTCAAGCCTGGGGTGGGAGGACAATGGTACCTACTTCACAGGGCTTTGGGGAGCATTCAATCACGATGATGATGACAACAGAGGACAGTACTGGAACTTGGGCCCAGGAGTCTAATGCCCTGAGGCGCCATGCTGAACCACAGTGCTGTCCGAGACCATGCGTGGGCTGCACCTGGCACACTGCATGCTTCTCAGTGAACGGCGTCTAGAATCGTATATTCGATACTTTCTGTCATTATCTCATCGAGTCAACCCCACCTTGCAGATGAGGAGACGGAGGCTCAGAGAGGAGCCTCCAGAGTCATGAAGCTAGAAAAGGGCAGAACCAAGGCCTATGTTCTGTCCGTCACAACCTCGTCCAGACCTTCTGCCGTCGCAGGAGAGGCACGTGTGGGAGCTTGACTCAAAGCAAAGCGCCCAAGGTGGGGCCAAGAGAAGCTAAGACCCAGGAGAGGGGTCATGCTCTGACCCTGTCACCGTATCCTGGGCTTTAGGGGTGGTGGGGACAGCTCCTCCCACAGCAGTGACCAGATTTGGAGGTGCCCATCAGCCCATCGGTGAGAGGCCCTGAAAGATCATCCAGAGCTGCGGGCTGCCGAGGTCAGCGTCACCTCATGAATGACACTCCCTGTTGCCAGGTGTCATGACCCTGGAACCCTGAGTCTCCGTCCTGGCCTGACTGAGCCCTTGGCGGCGAGGTCTGGCATGGGGATGAGAGCTGGAGAACAGCAGCCCCTGGTGCCCAGGCCTTCCACGGGGCAGGACCACCGCGGCACAGGTGGGACGAGTCTGCAGGACGGGCGCACAGCTGCCCGGGCCTGCGACCTCCCTCTCTGGGCTCCACACACACATGGTCCCTTCCTTGCTCAGGCCCTGGGACCTGGGCATCAAGGAAGCTTGCCAGGAACTTACCAGGGGGTCGATGGGGTTGGGCCCATCCTGGGTCTTCACAGCACACAGGGAGCACGGGGCCAGGCAGTCCGCTGTGGCAGAAGGCAGCACGAGGAGGCAAGCAGCCAGCGCCAGCCCCCGCCAGGCCATCCCGTCTCGGCTCTTTCTGCCGGGGAAGGAGAAAGAGAAGGTAATGAAGTCTGTGATCACCACTCTATGGGGTGTGTCCTGGGCCCGCAAAATTATCTCTTTAACTCCACCGGCAGTGCTGCCACGTAAGCAATCTCATTCCCATCGTACAGTCGAGAAAACAGAGGCTCAGAGAGGTGAAGTGGGTGCCCAAGGGCAAGGGTGAAAGAAGGCGATTAACAAGTGCCGTGTGCCCGCGCCTGCACCTGCCAGGTGTGAGGAGCTCTCCTGCACGTTCACAACTCAGTCTGCTCAACAACTCTTCAAGGTGAGCTGTGCTGTTTTCATTTGACAGATGGGGAAGTTACGGCTCAGAGAGGGCAAGCGATTGCACACAGCTAGGAAGCGCGCAAGCCAGGACTTCACCTGGATCTGTCAGACTTCAAAACCCACTTCGACCACCCGCCAAGCCAGAAGATACTTATCCGCAGGTTGTGTCCAAGCCAGTCCTTTGCAAGGTGTCTGGAGTTCGCTTTTCCCTGGCCACAGCTCCACCTTCACCCCTGCTCCATGCTGGCCTCCCTGCCTCCAGTTCCTTCTCTGATCCCTCCTGCCCACCCTGAAATGCCCTTCTTGGCAATATCAATTCTGTCATCAGACCCTTTAGGCAGGGTCAGGCCTGGTCCTTCTGCCTAAATGTCAGGACACCCTCAGTCCCATCTCAACACTCCAGCCCTTCAGCTCTGGGCTCCAACCACAGCCAGCTACTTGCAATTCCCTTAACCAACATCTCAGGCTCTGTCCTGCCTCTGGGCCTTTGCATATGCTGTTCCCTCTGCCTGGAGAACCCTTCCTCTCCTCTTCTGTTACCTGTCACGAAAGTCCTAGATTGGATATCACCTCCTTCAGGCAGCTTTCCCTGATCTCGTGGGCTGGATGAGAAGCTTCTCCTTTCTATTTTCCCTGTCCACTACTTAGTAATTAGCGGTGTAAGTCTTCAGACTTTGGTTCCCTGAAGACAAGAGCTGTGTCTTGTCTTTTTCTATGTAGTACTTTCTCTGTTCCTTAAATATACCACCCTTGCCCCTACCTCAGGGCCTTTGCACTTTCTGT